GATACAACTTCCCAGAAAGGAGTGTTTATAATGGGAAAAACTATCTAGGTAATGAATGTGAGAGAAGACAGAAGTGGTTAATAAGTTCTGCTCCCCATACCTCTCTGCCACCGCTACAAGTAGAAGCTAATTTGTGATTTTCTGTCCCCAAATTTTATGTTTATGTGGTTGGAGAGTTTGAACACTACTTTAATTCTTCCTTTCTGCTTCCCTTTAGCAAGATTCCCTAGCATTACTACCACATTTATTTAGCATTTGTAATATTCTCAGCTTTATGTATAGAGTCATGTTGAAATTTCGGTAGTTCTTTATGACTAATATATTACATATACAACATTCAAAGTTTCAAAATACTGATTCATAATGACAATAACTGACCACAGAAAATGAACTTGCCACACATTCTTCTGTCACAATACTACACAGTGCTTTATAGGATTGATATGTGGTAGAACATGAAATAGAAGCTAGAGAGAGGATTTGGAATGACCTGAACATATGCCTCCCTCAATGCACTCTCCAACCATTGATACTCTGCCTGGAGCCTAACCTAATCTCAGTTCTTAACGTACTCCCATCCCAATTCACTCAATTCATCCACATGGTTATGGATCACAAAGCACAAACATTTTTTCTGTTCCCCAACCTTAGTTCCATCCACCTCAACTCTATCTCTATAATGTCCCACTCAAGATCTTCCTATCCCTTTCATTGTGCCGTCTTGAATGATTGCTTCATAATTAATAAACTTCTTTTCATGTTAAATCTCTTCCTTTCTCTCTTCTTCCTCTGGTCCTCACTAGGACATGGCTTCTTCCTGATAATACTGCTTCTCTCACCATCCTTTCTGATTAGTATCAACTACCCTTTGTCTCATAGTGCAGGAGTCCAAATCCTCCTTTGCTATTTCTATTATCTCCTTCTACTACTATCACTCAGCAATCTCTCCATTGTGGTTCATGCTATACAATCCAGATCCTGGTGGCTGTTATTTATCAACTCCCAAGATATTCTCCTTCCTACCTCATTAAAGCTGGCTCATAGCATTTCTCTTTCCCAATTCTTCATTGTAGGGGACTTTAACATACATGTTGATGCTCCCTCAAATGTCCTAACTTTTCAGTTACTGAATCTACTTAATTCCTATAACCTACTTCTCTACTCTGCCTTAGCTACACACAGAGATAATCATACTCTTTATCTTACATGTTCATGAACTCTGATTTTTTTTTAACGGATCACCATCATTTAATATTTCATTTTTAGCTATGTTTTCTAAGCCTTCCTCTCTATCCATATTATGATCCAGTTACAACTTCAGAAAAATGATGGTCATACTAGATGCACTAATGAAGAGAATACTGCTTTGATGTTTCAGAAATTTATGTCTATAGGATACTGGGGAAAGAATGTGAGGTCTAGAAACAAGGTTGTTCTAGATCCCTAAAACAATGATCATGACCTTGTCATTATCTGGACTCCAATAGAGATGATGGCAAAGATTGATGGTATGAAATACATTGCTTTCCTAGACCTGACAGAGAGGTGATAGTGAAGATTGATGATTTGGAATATGGTGCTATCCTGGAGAGGTGACCATAATTTTCCAGTTATTTAAAAGAGATATTTAAGGGAAAATCTCATACTGTCTATAGAAAGGCTTGGACTTAGAGGACTAACTGACAAACATTACATTTATCTCAGCTACATAAGAAAAAAGCCTGGACTTTGGTAAAGAGGTTGTAGTGTCAATAGTATGTCAGAACCTATAGAATACCTTCAGAGTGTCAGCACTGACTGGAACCAATTCCAGTGTATTCAAAATATGGTCAACAACAATCTGGAATCCAATATCTGTATCCTTTGACCACCCATGCAGCCTTGACGAGTTCTAAAGCAGAACAGGCAAATAGTGACAAAGAACATCTCAAAAGCACTTTCACTTCAAACTTAAAAGTGAATCCTGATATATTTGATTTTTGTGATTCTCCAATGCTAGAAAAATGAGAGGAATAGTGGAAGCAAAGCTTTGCAAGAGAACAGGTGTGTTCTAATGACAGGAATGGTCCATGAGATAAGACTAAGGAAGACACAGTTTCTAGCTTACTGACTCCCTAATTTTTCTGAGAATGATCTAGAATGATTCTTTTATCTGTGGCAGATGACCTCAGAAACCATGTTAAAGGTATGCTAATCAATGGCATCCTCATAGAACCCAGGAGTCTGTATGTACATTACCTATAATGTTGGTACTAAAGAAAAATGAAGAGACATAAATATGTATATACTACCAGACTTTGAAAGAAAAAAAAAAAGAACAAAAGTAGATCATACACTATGATGAGAGCTTGAGTTGCTCTGGATTGACTATTAAATAAACAGTAGTTCTCAATATTGAACTTATAAAGTGGCTACTTCCAGATTTGTATGAAAAACAAGGAGAAACTCACCCTCATGTGCCAAGCTGCATATCACTGGTATCTGAGGTATACCTCTCATTTTCCAAAGTCTGATAGGAAAAGTAGTTAGAGATATGAATTATCTAGAAATGTATGTGTACCTTGATGATACCATTGTCTCTGGGAAGACCCTGGAACATAAGAACAGACTGATAAAGGTGTTGTACTGGTTAGAAAAAAATGACCTAAAGCTTTCAGTGACACATACCATTTTTTCAGAGGTCCTGTCAAGTATATGAATCACATAGTATCTAATCAGGGTGTAAGTACTGACCTAGAGAAGATAGAAATGCTCCTGAGAGCCATGTCCACTGAACTTTTATGATCCAAGGACTTTTCTTTGGTTTGGTAGTTATTATCACAAGTTTTATTTTAAACTATGCATCTATTTCTAAATAATAGAATGATTCGCTTATCCTCCCACGAATGAAGACAGCCAGAAGAAGAACATTAAACCTCTATTTTTCTACCAACCCACAAAGTCCTTTGGAGATTGATGGATGAACAAATGTGAACAAGCTTTCAAAAACTGGTCAGCTGCTTCACACATTCACTAATGTCAGCCTTAATCCCAACAAGTTTGTTGTCTTACATATACATACCAGTTTATACGACTTAGGGTCAATAGACTGATGCTCACCAGAAACCAGTTACACTTCTCAGCAGAGGACTGTGTGACCATGATACCTGATTGATATATTATATATATATATATATATATATATATATATATATATATATATATAAGTTAGAGTTCTTAAATCTAAAGTAGATTGTTACTAAGTTCAACAACTGTATATGTGTATTACAGTGAGGTTGCAAGTGTGGACTAACACAATCCAATGACATATTTTTGACCAATGCTAAGTCAGATGTTGCTTGCCAAAGATGGGTTGGAACATTGGCCAACTATGATTTTAGCATATTTGGTAGACCAGGAAAGACTCACGTGAATGCAAATGTCATAATCCAAAGGCCACATAACACTGAGCTATGATAATACCTACAGCTTTACGTCCAGCCCGGGAAGCTAGATTATGATCAAGTAGAAATGCAACAGAAACTATGCCAGTAGTATACATTTACCTGTTTTTAGCAAACCAACATTCTCTGTCTCAATTGTCTCTAGATGATTAGCAGCAAGAGCAGGTGGTTAATGAAGGACTGGAAGAAGTGATGCAAGCCAAGAAGTGATGAAATTTTTCTGGATGACCCAATTTTCAGTCCTCAAATGTGCCCTACTGTTGAGATAATGACAGATGTGATAGCTGTGCAACAAAGCACTCTATGAGACTTCACTGATCCCACACATACTACCAGAAAACTGGTGGTGCTTTCTTGAATATATTGTAGCATGGCCATTAAAGGCTACATAATATCTTTGGACATACAGATCAAGAGAGAAAACTTGTATTATTTTTAAAAAATATTTTCCTGCTCTGGGATGGTTGCAGATATCTGTAAGAAGTTAGAGACTTACACACATGTACAAAGAAAAATAATGCTAACTTCTACTGCATATTTGGAGAAACCCTTAGAACTTATCTACACTGACTTTTTAATCTCTGAAAGGAGATAGTAAGAACATAAGTCGTATTTTGGTGGTGATTAACCTGCAGACTCCCCATATAGTTGTCCTGTATCTACTTTGGGCTTTCTCTCTGAGCACGGTTCCCTTCTCTCTTTTTTTTAATCTTTATTAATAATGTGAACCAAAGATCTTTGCAAACCTGGGATTTGGCAAATGTGGTTGAGAAATTGGAAATGTGGTTGACTGAAAGTAGTTGAAAGTAGAATTCTCAAAGAAGAGAGAGATAGCTCTAACACTGAGGCAGGGGTATGCTAGAGCCAGCTGTAATCATTAAGAGTCAATTATTAAATTTCAGTGTGAGTGTTTATACTTTCAGACAGTTAGGTGGCACAATGGATAGAGCACTGAGCTGTATCTCTGGAAGACATGAGTTCAAATCCAACCTCAGAAACTTACTATCTATGGAACCCTGAGCAAGTCATTTAACCTCTGTTTGCCTTACTCTACTGGAGAAGGAAATGGCAAACCATTCTAGTATCTTTGCCAAGAAAACACAATATAGTCCATGGGGGTCACAAAGAGTCAAACACAACTGAACAACAACAATGGCAATTTATATCTCGGAAATAGGCAATTCTACAAAATAAGGACTCAATGTATTGTTTTGTCAATTGTATAAAAGTGTAGTGTGCATAGATTTTTCTGTATTTTCCTTCCCTACCTCACCCCATCCCCACCCCCCCACCCCCCCCAAGAGTTAGGTTGTTAAATATTTACGAGCACACCCTTCCCTATATTGCTCTATAAATATTGCTTGAGCTCTGCAGAGTGCAGTAGAAGGATCAGGAAAAAAGTCATCACCAGACTGGAATCTTGTTGACTGAAGGCTAAGAAGGATGATAATGATGATGATGATGATGATGATGATGATGATGACGATGATGATGATGATGATGATGATGATGATGATGGTGATGATGGTGATGATGATGATGATGATGATGGTGATGATGATGATGATAACTGACATTTGTATAGTTCTTTAAGGTTTGCAAAGTGATTTACATCCATTACTTATCTCATGTGAACTTTGCAGCACTCCTGCACTGAGGTGTTTTATAAGTGTGCTATTTCTGGGTGGAGGTTCAGGGCTAAAAAAGATAAAAAGAATTACAGATCCTTTATTCTAATTCCTATATAGGAGTGGTTAAACAACCCCATTCACCACACTTCTCTGCCAGTGCTTTAATAGCATCTACCTCACAGGGTTACTGTGATATCTCTTAGTTTATTGTAATGACTTCCTAATTGGTATCCTTGCCTCAAATCTCTCACCATTTAAGCCCACTCTACATGCTGCTGCCCAAGTAATTTCTTAAGAACAGATCAACTGTGTATCCCTTTTATTCAACCAACTTCAGTGGTTCTTATTGCATCTAAAGTTAAACATAAATTCCTTTGTTTAGTCTTTAAAACCCTACATAGCCTTGCCTAAGACACACCTCAGGGTACATTCACTCATAGGAATGGGATATGGATGGGAATATATCAAAAGAAACTAAGAAAGACTGATTAGATTGATATGAGAAGCAGGAGAGCAGAACCATAACTAGGCCAAGGTAATCGGAGTTTACACTGCACTGGATTTCAAAGGGCCATGAGCTTCAAAAGTATTAATAATAATAATAATAATAATAATAATAATAATAATAATAACTAGCATTTTTATTGTGTTTTAAGTTGCACAGTGACTTACATATATTATTTCATTTGATTTAGTCGTGACAATACTTGTAGTGGTAAAAAACTGGAATCTGAGGGAGAATCCATCAATTGGAGAATGAATAAATCATGGTTTGTGAATGTATTGGAATACTATTATGCTATAAGAAACAGACAGTTTCAGTGCAATCTAGGAGGACTTTCATGAATGAAGTGACCAGAAGCAAAAAAAGAAATTATACTGTAACATCAATACTGCGCAAATGAACAATTCTAAAAGACTTGAGAACTCTGATCAACATCATGATTAACCCTGATTCCAAAAAATATAATGAAGAATCCTGCCAGCCTTATGACAGAGAGATATGGACTGACATGCAGAATAAGAAACACATTTTTTTACATGGCCAATCTGGGAATTTGCTTTGCTCAACTTTGTCTATATTTCTTTATTACTTGTTTTCCAGTGGATAGGGGAGGTGAGATGAAAAATATAAATGCTTGATAATAGAAAAAAAATGTTTAAATATTTTCTTCTCATTTGTTAACAAAATGGTGTTTATTTCTCAGACAACCAAAATGTGCTTGAATTCCTTTTGTATCTCCCCTGCTAGAAAAGAACTGAAGCAAAGAGAGTAGTGGCAGGGAGAAGAAAAGTATTTGAATTTACCAGGAACCCTACTTTACCTGGAAAAAATTTGGCTACATCAGTGAATATAAAATATGGATCATTCAGAGCCTCTGAACAGGATTAACTACAAACTATTTCAGTGTTTTCATTGCTCTTTCTAGTTTTTAGAAATTCAGTTAATTACAAATTGAGATTAGATCAACTCTGAGTTCCCAGTGATAACAGGAAATAACTTTATTGTAGAATAAAAAGTTAGTTGAGTCAAGTCAACAAGAATTTTTAAGTGCTTACTATGTACCAGGAACTATGTGTGCAGGGTCGTGGGAATACAAATACAAGCAGAAAGACAGTCCTTACCTTCAAAGGCCTTGCATTCTAATGGGAGGAAGAAGAGAACAAAAAAAGAACAAAAAAAAAATTTTTTAAAGAACATGAAGAAAGGGCTAGGAGGGGAGGAAGCAAACACCCTTGAGGAGGAAGAAGGTACCCTTGTGTAGACATGTTCTAAAAAGCCTGGAAAGACAGAAGTAGAGCCCAGGGAGGATTGAAGGTATGACTGGCCTGCATACTTTCCTTAAATATAGAAGTTCTAAGAGGAATTGATCAATCAGAGGAAGGTGAGGAGGATCATCCTTCCAGGGTGAGAGAATCAAGGATAGAGTGAACTTCCAAGGTGAGAAGGCTACTATGGTATGATGGAGAAAGCGCAGAGAGTCATTGGAGTGAGGTCTTCAAGTGTAAGTTACAAGGCCATTTGTTAGAGGGTTAGGAGCCATTTTTAAAGGAGGAAAAAATTGTTAATAACGAGTTAAAAATTTCTTCAAATTAACTAATATCCAGAGAAATACAAATTTAAACAACTCCAGATACCACTTGAGACACAACAAATTGTGAAAAATTTTGTCAAATTTGTCCAAAACAACTTGGTATTTTCAATTTTTCTGAAAAAAAATTACAAGGTGGGACTTGAAATTGATGTATGGCCTTAGCAATTTAGAATGAGTCATGAAATTGATCATACTCTCTAACCCAGCAATACCAACTACAATCAGGAGTTGTACAGTTGTTGTTTTGGGTCTTTGATTTCATTACTTAAGGAACTACTAGTGTAGAAACTCCCTTCACCAATACAGATCAGTAAAAATTTGGCTCTGAAAGGTTAAGAGATTTTATGTGATCCCATATCTTCCTAAATCCAAGTGCAGCCTTATCCCCTACCTGATGTTACTACTCATTAGGAATTTAGTCTGAAAATATTATAAAAGAAGGGGTGGAGGGAAATCTATCTATTCAAAAATATTTCTGTTTTATTTGTAGAAGCTAAAAACTGGAAACAACTTACACACCACTGACAAGTAAATGGCTGGATAAATTGTGATTTATCAATGTAATCATATATTGCTGTATCATAAAAATAATATATGAAGTCTACAAATATGGAAAGATTAATACAAAGTCATGCAAGGTAAAAAAAAAACAGCAGAAGGAAAATAAGCTGACTATGACTTTCTACAGGATACTTATACTATTTAGCTTATAGACTGCATACATATATACATGTATGCAGAAGTACATACACACAAATACACAAACCAACAGTGGCCGCAAAAATAAACATATTGAGGGAAAGGAAATTGAAAGGAGATACAACAAATACAAATATACCATCTTAAATTTATGTATTTATTTCCTTTTTTTTTTTCCTTCAGGTTTTCTACTGGGAGGAATTGACAAATCAGAGGAAGTGAGGGAGGATCACTCTTCCATGGTGAGATCAGAAGTAGAGTGAACTTCCTGCTATCTGCTATCTCTTAACACCCTCCCCCTATTTAAACAAACCTATCATCTTGTTAATGTAGAGAACCAGTGAGAAACTTCATCTGCCTATGCAGATCACTACTTGCTCTGTGATTTATAGTCTTAAAAAGTTGTCTGGGCCAATGGCGGGAGAGATTTAGAAGAGTTCTCTTCTCCCTGAGAAGCTCACTAGAAGTGGAAATGTCCTTCTGAAAATCTAGTACCTGGCTCTCAAACTCAGGATCTTTCAACTCAAGATTACCTACAAGGTCATCCGTAAATTGGGAAACCCTCCAGTCTCTGACCTGTATTCAGGGGAAAAAATGGAAAGGCAGAAAAAGACAGCAAAGAATGGGAGATTTAGAAACTCCACTCTCAGGGTTGCTGTTTTTCCACACACTTCTTCAAGTCACCACTTAATGCCTCTGGTGAAGATGAAGAATATAGAAAGGGAGAAATTCCTCTTCCCATTGTTACACTCTATTCTAAAAGTATAAGAAAAAGAATCACATAAAAAGAAAAGGAAAGGGTTAAGAGGATAAACCACTTCACCTAAAGACCACAGAAGGTCTCCAGAGTCTGTCTACTCTCAATCCCAGACATCAATCATCTTGGAGCCAACCAAGGGTATGCCAGCTTGAACCACCTCCTTAGAGCTGATAATTAAATTTTCAGTGGATTTTCTTTCCACCCCTCTCCTTTTGCCTTGCAACTCCCAACTCTGTTCTTCCTTAGGAACCTCCAATCCCTCATCCCCTTACTTCTTTTCCAGGCCATTGAGCATACCTGTGCTGTCTACAATCTTTTTTCCTTTTCCTTGTTGAACCAAGTTTAATTCAATACTCTCCTTTTCTCTGTAATCCTTTGCTCTCTTTTCCTACTGATGGTCTTGTTCTTCCAAACCTCAGCTCTAGCTCCCTCTCATCATTTGCTGTAGGTGCTCCTACTGAAGTACTGCTGTATTGAAGCTGTAGGAAATTGCAGCACCATGCTGACTTGAATCCACTAAAAATCTGTGTTATGTAATCTCAACTGGACCCTCACTGCTGCATGCCATTATTTTAACACCTCCCTAATGGATTCAGTATTCCACTCACCACAGTGGCTTTTTCAGACCTTTTTATCCCTCTACAAACCATAGTTCCCACTCTTAGCTAAGGGATCTTAATTCATATTTCTCTGAAAAAAAAAATTGAGGTGATTTGCCAAGAGCTTCCTTTTCTTCTCTCCTTCTCAACTTACATCTCCCAGATACCTTCTGCCATGATTTTGTCTTTCACCTTTGTCTCACATGATGAAGAGGCCCTACTCATTGCAAAGACAAATCCCTCTATGTGCACATTCGAGCAGATTGCCCTCGTGTTGGTATTCCCAATCTGTCACTAATCTTCAATATTCAAGTCTATTGGCTGCTTCCCTGCTTCCTACAAACATACCCATGTCTCCTCCTCCAGATCAAAAAATCTTCATTTGATCTTAACATCACTACTAGCCATTACCATTACTATCACTACCATCCTATATCACTACTCCCTTTCCAGCTAAATTCTATGAGAAAGCCATCTACCATCTATGCCTCTTACACCTTTCACTTTCTTCTAACCCTTCAGCAGTCTAGTTTCCTATGTCATCATTCAAATGAAACTGTTCTCTCCAAAGTTTACTTGGTACATAATTACCAAATCTAATGGATTTTTCTCAATCCTTATCCTTCTTGACCTTTCTGTAGCCTTTGGCATGATCAATCACCCTCTTCTTCTGGATACTCTCCCCTCTTTAGGTTTTCATGATACTTCATTCTCCTAGTTCTCCAGACTATCTGATTATTCTTTCCCATTATCCTTTACTAGTTCTTTATCTAGTTCATGGCCACTAACTTCGGGCATTCCCCAAGGGTCTGCTTTTAACTCTCTTCTTTAACTCATTAGCTTCTATAGATTCATGTACCATCTCCATGAAAATGATCTTCAGATCTACTTGTCCAGGCCCAATTTCTCTCTT